CTTCTAAGTATTCCTTTATATGTGGTTCAGAGTTCTGGGACCATCCCCTGAGCCTGCTTGGTCGGGTATTCTGTGTTGTTGTTGGCGGAGCTCTCTGCTACACATCCACCCAATCCGCCATCGTTTGTTCTCCGCTTGTACATTTTTACAGAAGCAGACTGTCTCAGCTTTCTCCCTCAAAGCAGCTGGTGGGTTTGTACCACCCACCTTTTAGTTGGTTTTAGTGGTTTAGTTGAGCACTTAACCACTGCATCAACAGGGCTCCCTTGAGAACAGAGGAGGTCAGAACAAGAGAATCTGGGGTCAGTAGTGCGGTTTGAGGAACACATGGAAATGCCTCTACCTGTCACCAGCATCAGCTCACAGGAGGACAGGGTTGGCATCTCAGAGGAATGCTACCAAGTGAGCAAAGGGGCTACTTTCCTCTGCTTTGTCAGACTTGTTCTTGCTATGTTCTTTCAGATCCTAGGACTCACCATAGCTCAACAGCATGGCAAATATGGGAAAGGAAGAGTGAACATGGGTAGGAAATAAGATCAGGCAGACAGCAGAGACAAACGCAAGGAAGGAGATGGGGATGATTACTGTGGTTCTACTTTGAGTGCTGAAAAGATGGAAAGACAGCACTGATATGAACAGAAATGGACAAGTCGGGGAGAGAGCTAGTTCAGGTTTGTTGTTGTTCTTGTTAAGTGCCGTCGAGTCAGTTCCAACTCATAGCGACCCTGCATAGGGTTTCTGAGGAGCAGCTGGCTAGTCTGAACTGCCGATCTCATGGTTCAAGCCAACCTGACAGTTGAGTGATTATTCTACAGTGCCATACCAGGATTCCATGTTCAGGTTTAGGTTGAATGATTTAAGGCGACAGAAAAAAATCCATAAAGCATAAAGGAACATCTCAAAACTGGTGAAAAACGAGAGCCTCCCACTCAGCAGGGCAGTCATTTGAAATCTCTCCAGTATCCATCGTCTCTCTTCCGCAGCCTCTGTTACCACCCTAGCCTAGTTCTGTAACTTCCTACCTCGTCTCCCAGACTCCAGGTTCTACCCACCTCAATTAATTCTGTTGTTGTTATGTGCCGTCGAGTTGGTTCTGATTCACAGTGACCCTATATGGGGTTTTTGAGGAGTGGCTGATGGGTTTAAACCACTGACCTTGTAGTTAGCAGTCCAGTGGTGATCCTACAGCGCCACCCCGGATTCCCAAGTCATCCTACACAGCATTATTGAATTAACTTTCTGAAGAGCCTTTTCTAATCACATCTCCCTACTTATCAAAGACTGTCAGCAGTTCTCTGTTGCTGTGTGAGATCAAGTTGATTCAGATGCATATAAATCCCACATGGGACAGAGTCCACCTGCCCCACAGGGTTTCCTACACTGATGAGTTCAAATCCCTGACTTTGTGGTTAGCAGCCAAGCACTGAAATGCTGAACCATTACACTCCTAGAGCTCCTTCAGTGGCTTCCTAAACAAAACTAAACAAAACCCCACTATCATGGAGTTGAATCCAACTCATAGGGGTCCTGTATAGGGTTTCTGAGAATAAACTTTTACAGGAAAAGAAAGCCTCATCTTTCTCCCTCGGAGCAGTGGTGGGTTCAAATCACAGACTTTGTGACTAGCATTCAGGACCAGGTCATTCTACACACACACAACTACCCCCCCCCCCCTTTTTTTTAATTACTTTTAGCAAAGATAACAACTTTATTGTATTTTGTTATATTTAATGTTTTAGAACCATATCATGATTTTCATTTCATGGATTTGCATAGTATTAGTAGAAATTTAACACTATTCTAAAATTTAATTTAGACTTAACTATCTTATAAATGAGATGCTCTAAAATAGTCACTTTTTATTATTGTTACGGAACAGTGCAAATGACTGGTAGGAAGACAGGTTGCTGCTTACACTGTTTATATTTGTCAATATTCTGAGAAAGAAGTAGCTGCTGGGAAAGTCCACTGTGGCAGCAGGGGACCTTTGGAGATAATTTTCTTGATTCAGTCAGCTCCTCCACAGACCTTTATGAGCATGATTTCATAGTCTCCAGGAGTATCCTGGATTTAATTGCTGAATATAGGGAATAACTGTAATGCTTTTAGAACGCCGCTTGAATGTCCAAAAGGTCAATTTCTGATCTGGAAACCATTATTCTGTTCAAAGTAAATTCATCAGTTCCCTCACCCTTCAAAGCTTAATGCAGTCTTTCAGCCAAAAAGGGAACTACAGCCAGAAGTAAATCTTCAAAATGCCCAGACAGTTCTTCTTTTATATTGTCCTCAATGTCCTTTTGGCTGATATTTCGATATTCATCAAATGTTAGTTTCGGTTGAGGAAAGCTTCTTAAACACAGAATCTTGGTGAATTTATCTTTATCTGTGCCCCATCTCTTCTCACCAGCATTATAGAGAAGCTGGGCATCTTTTTTAGCCAGATGTTTATCCACTTGTAGACTCTCTTCTTTTCTGCCATCAGCCAAAGTCAACAGAGATTTCCAGAAGTCTCCTGATGTTTCAGAACGAATGTCATCTCCAAGACTCTTCTTATATACTTATATAGTTGTTGTTGTTGTTAAGTGCCATCGAGTCGGTTCCGACCCATAGCGACCCTGTATAGGGTTTCCGAGGGTGTAAATCTTTATAGGCTTGAGCAATTGCCTTCATCTGCCTGCTTGTCATGGTGGTTAGAATTTCAATCAATGCATTTTCATTTGTTCCAGTTCCCTTCATGGATTTCTTTAGCTCCTTCGCATCAAACTCTTCTGGTGGAGTTACGAGGGCTACCATTATATGTTCAAAGTTGTCAGAGAGATCGCCGTTCAAGTCATCTTTCAACTCCTTTCCATATGCTGCTTGATATTCCTTAACAATCAGCTGTCTCTGTGTATTAGACCTCTCTGTCAGAATGTTGATGAGCGTCTTCTCATTGGTTCCAGTTCCTCTGATTGCCTTGCATATTCAGCACCCACTGATGGGCTAAAGCCTGGATAATCTGCCTGGCCCGGTGTGCGGGGCAATCCCAAGCAAAGGTGGGCCCAGTTCATTCTTTTCACTCTTAAGAGTTACCAAACTGACTGCCAATTGTTCCCTGAGCACACCCTGTGTTTCCTGCTGCCTTGCTTTGTTCTTGCTGTTCATCCTGCCTGGAACGCATCCACACACATCTCTTGAAATCATAGCGACCTTCCATATCCTTTCTGAACCAGAATCTTCCCCCATGAAGCCTTTTCTTGTTTCTCCAGCTAAGATCTCTCCCTGAACCTACCTTTTACTATGGACCTCTTCTTTGGCGCTTAATGTTTTCATGCCTGTATTACAACAATTTGTGTACCTGGTGAGTTCCCTTATGACAATATAAATTCTTAAAGCAAAGGACCCATCTCTTCATAACTTTCAATGCACCAAGTGAGAGGGATATCTGTTAAGTATTAAGTACTTGTAGGTATTCCTTATATTCAATTTGAACAAATAGACTTACATGACTGGCCAGTGAGTCTGAGGAGCGATTTGAGAAAAGAACAATGGGCCCAAGAACAAGGATGAGAAAGGCTGGTGACGGGGGCAGATAGAGAAGGAGAGTCTCAATAAGCCCTTCCTCCCCCTCAGTAACAGCCAAAAGAAGATGCCACTCACAGCTGACAGAGACACAAGCACTCGCTGGAACATGAAGGACGTGTCTGAGCAAATGTCATCCTCAAGGCTCCGTCCGAATTCTAGTAAGAGAGTATAATTAGTTACACCCAATAAAGAGGCCTGTGTCACACTCTAGGGCACTCTGACCTGGTCAAGGTCAGTCTGTTCAGTGAGGCAGCTCAGCATGAGCTTTTTAATTCCACACACAGTTACCAGTTGCCATAGAATTGACTGGCTCTTAGCAACCTCACTGTGTTCAGAGAACTGTGCTCCACAGGGTTTTCAATGGATGGACTTGAAGGTCAACCTTTAGGTTAGCAGCTGGGAGTGCTAACTGCACCCTCCAGGGACTCTACACATAGTTTTTAAAAAAATAAAACTGACAAATGGTCCAATTAAGTTAATCTACTCTTATAGTGGAAATGAGATGCTTCGATTACCTAGAATGGGAATCAAGAAGGCTGGGGTACAACTCCCTCTAAGCTTCTGATGGGTCATCTCTCAGGGGTCTGTCCTGAGCCTGGCTTCCAGTGATGCACAGCTGCATGTCACAGGCAGAACGGCAAACAGACTGGAGGTTCTAAACCATATTTGGGGCAGTGGAGTTGCAATCAAGCACGAATCCCACCATGCCCTTCTCTTCCATGCCCCTCAACGGAGAGGATCTGAGACCTTCCCCCAAGAGAAGCTCAAATCCTTCAGAGCCTTTAGGGGAGAAAACGTGAATTCAACAGACATGAGGATCTGGTGCTAAGATGTACACCAGACACCTAAGGTTTAAAACTTTCTGCTCAGAAGGCTTTGCCTAAAAACTGTTTTTGCTTTTGTTTTCTTCCTACAAAAGTAATACTGTTAACTATAGAAAACTTTCAGGGGAGATGGGAAAAAAACCCATCACAAGAGAAGAATCATCTAGAAATAGTGATCATATTTTGATGAATGCCCTTTGATTTTTCTTCACAGGCATATGTTTTTTCTTAAAGAAATAGAATCCTAGTATACTATTTTATGATTTGCTTTTTCACTTATCCAGATACCCTGCACATCTGTAATGTGACTGAATTGTTGTTGTTGTTGTTGTTGTTAAGTGCCGTCGAGTCGGTTCCGACCCATAGCGACCCTGTACAGGGTTTCCGAGGGTGTAAATCTTTACAGGAGTAGAAAGCCTCATCTTTCTCCCGCGGAGCGGCTGGTAGTTTCGAACCGCTAACCTTAAGGTTCACAGCCCGATTCGTAACCACTACGCAATAGTCTTTAATATAGGTTGTGATGTCTACTTAATAGTTTATTGTGTATGTATGCTTTACTTAATTCAGCCAATTCACTACTTTTGGGCATTTTTAGCTAATGGAAACAATATTGAATTATTGTTGTTAAGCACTATTGAGTCGGCTCCCACCCATAGTGACCCTACATAGAGTTTCTGAGGAGCAGCTGGTGAGCTTGAACCGACTACCTTGAAGTTCAAATGGCTTTTCAGTCACAAGGACTCCTTATTGAATAAACCTGGGGATAAAAACCTTTGTGCACTTTTCATTGTATTCTTAGGGCTAGAAGACATGCATATTTCATAAGCTCTCCATATATACTGTCATCTGGGGATTTTTAAGAGGTGAATAATGGCTATCGCTGTCATATGACCTGGTGTGGCAATGTTGGTTAAAGCACTGGACTGCAAGGTCGGTTTAAACCACAAGGCCGACAGTTTAAACTCCCCAGCCACTCCTCAGAAACCCTATACAGGGGCACTATGGGTCAGAACTGACTTGGTGGCACTTAACAATAACAACAACATGAGATGGCCAGTCTAGCTGAAGGTAAAGAATAAGGCCAGATGGCATTGCCAGGCCATGTTTTTTTGGGAGTGCTAGGAGTCACTGGTGTCAACACTTTTAGGTAAGCACCTTTTATTGTTATAATAAAGAACAACTTTCAGGGTAATATAACCCCGCACTGCGAGGCCTAAGGAGAGGGCTATCTTCACCTGAGAAGTCTCAAGAAGCAAACAGGCAGTGATTTTCCTTCCTAGACAGGAATGTGCCTTGAAACAGAGCCTGGAACTGAGGCCCTCTCATAATCAATGCTTTCCTGGAAATGAGAGTCTAATTAGTATATAACCCTGGTAGTGCAGTGGTTACGAATTGGGCTGCTAACCTCAAGGTCGGCAGTTCGAAACTACTAGCTGTTCTGTGGGAGAAAGAAGAGGATTTTTGTTCCCATAAAGATCTGCAGTCTTGGAAACCCTATGCAGGGTCACTATGAGTCGGAACCGACTCCACAGTACTTAACAACACTACAACCCGCTGTTAGTCCCTGTCACTGCCGATGTTACGTACGCAGCTGGTATGTCCCTTTGATGCGCCGGATCTCCTCAGTGGACCGGGAGGCCAGGATCTCAATCAGGCAGCCCTCGTCTGTGCCAGCTCCCTAAACACAAAACAGGGCAGACAGCGTTATGAGCCAGTTTAAAGAGTTGCACCTCACACGCAGCAGGAATACAATGATGGATCTGCCGAGAATAAAGACAACCCACTGAGCTCTAACAACTAGGCATTTAATCAAAATCATCAACAGTTAAAGCAAGCATTTATAGACTGTTTACTATGTGTGCCAGATTAGGTATAATTTCTACTCTCGGAGGACTTAGTCCTTCCTTGATCTCCCCTGTTCTCTTCCTCTGAAGGGCAAAATCTTCTGACAAAGACTTCGTTACCTCTTTGCTTTCCTGGAGTCCAGCCCAGGACTGAGTATTTATTGTATGATGAATATTTATTGATATGGTTGAGAAAAGAAATTCTATTTGGATTTACTACTTGGTCATAAAAAATCAGCAGACCTTAAGTAGAGTTGAGAACCCTTTTTTCGCCAGTGCTAAGCATCCTAGTGTGGTGCTGTGGGTTCATGTGCCTGATTACACAGCCGTATGAACTGCAAGGTCGGCGGTTCAAGCTCACCAGCTGCTCCTCGGAAACCCTATACAGGGTTGTTATGGGTCGGAATTGACTCGACTGCATGCACTTAACAACAACAACAAGCCTACAGAGGAGCTAGAGGCCCACAAGATATCAGTCATAAAGTTCTGTATCTCAAAACTAGCTAGTACAAGAAACTTACTGTAACTGCATCAAAAGCACAGCTCTAATAACTCCTCATTGAAAGACAGGATAAAACAAAGGACTTCATAGCTTTTTGGAAATTAACTTTTTAATGACAACTGCTACAGTGTAATGTGGAGTGCTGGTATGGTGCTGTAGGATAACATACTGGACTGCAAGGTCAGTTTGAGCTGCAAGGTTGGTTCAAACCCACCAGCAGCTCAGGGCACTGAACACCAAACAATAACAATGTAGAGTAACATAAGGTTTTCAAGTTGTGGTAAATGAAGATAGGTTTTCTCCCTGAGCTTATCCTTCCCCTCTGAGAAGGGCTCAGTCAGTTTATGGAGGAAGTGGGTCGGTGTTTGCAAGAGAGCAGGCACACACACCTTCATGGCTCTCCTCAGCTCCTGCGCGTCATACAGCACGGTGGGCGTCATCATCCCCAGAATGACTTGCTCGAAGTTGCCACTCAGTTCTGACTTCAAGTCATCCAACAGGTCCTGGAACAACACAAAAAGAACCCAGCCTCAGTGAACTGGTAAAACCAAAATCGAACATGTTGCCACGGAGTTAACGTGTCTCAAAGTACAACTGCTCCATCAGGGTTTCGTGGTCGTGATCTTTACCAACACAGATTCTTAGGTGTAATAACTTAAATTAGCCAGGTTCAAAAGTATGGCCCATGGATGCTTGGGATCAGAAGTGTTTAATATATAAATATATATAAAGTGTAATGCATAATAATAACAAGACATTATTTGCCTTTTTCTGCCATTCTCCATTGAGTGTATAGTGGTGTTTTTCAGACTACTCACTTAAAGCCTGTCCTACCAACTGGTCCAGGAATTCTGCAAATCGCAAGTTGAAGAGCTACCCTTGGTTAAGCGCCTATTATGTTCTAGGCCTTGTGCCCGTCAGTCCTTTGCAGCTATTATTACTAAACTTCATGATAACATTATAAAATTGATATTTTAAATATTTCAAAGAGTTAAGAACCTGTTAAAATCAAACAACTAATAAGTTGATTATTTAACTCCTGATCTCTCATTCTCACAAACCTGATTTTAAAATTGTATCTCAACACAGTAAACATTTTGGTGTTACCTCTATATACACTGAATGAGCAACTGAATGAATGAGTATGCAAATTAGTGCTCAGTCAATTTGTTAATGTTGTCTAGCTTAACAAATTGCCATCAGATTAGGTTCATTCTGGAGCTGAATATCCACCCCATATGTGTATGGTGAAACACCATATTTTAGTTCATTAAATTTCTTTGAGAATGAAGAGTTTAGTATGCCCAGAAGATACAGAGAGCAATTTTGATGGGAGGAGCCCCACTCCCTACTGGGGTATCCAGTTAAGGTTTGCATGCAGATTTCCCTAGGGGGTACATATGGTTACGAGCTCATGTGCTAGACCGCAGTCTCAGTATGGGTTGTGCCTTAAGGCAAAGAAAACAAAAATCCTCAACACTGGACCAACAGATAATATCATGATAAATGGAGAAAAAAAATGAAACTGTCAAAGACTTCATTTTGCTAAGATCTACTGTCAACACTCTTGGAAGTCAAGAAATCACACGATTTGCATTAGGCAAATATGCTGCACATGACCAGTTTAATTTAAAGTGTTCAAGAGCAAAGATGTCAGCTGGAGGATTAAGGTGCACCTGTTCCAAGCCATGGTATTTTCAGTAGTTTCATATGTACATGAAAATTGGACAATGAATAAGGAAGACTATAGACAAATTGATGTATTTGAGTTATGATGTTGGAGAAGAATATTAAAAGTACTATGGGCTACTGGAAGAACAAACAAATCTGTGTCGGAAGAAGTACCGCCAGAATGCTCCTTAGAACTCAGGATGGCCAGACTTCGTTTTTTTACTTCAGACATACTATCAGGAGGGAACAATCCCTTGAAAAGGCCATTATGCTGGGTAAAGTGGAGGGTGAGTGAAAAGAGGAAAGGCCCCAGCGTGATGGACTGGCACACTTACAGCAGCAATGGGTTCAAGCAGCAACAATTGTGAGGAAGACTCAGGACCAGGCAGCATTTTGTTCTGTTGTGCAGAAGGTCACTATGAGTCAGTACCAACCTGACAGCACTGAGCAACAACAACTACCCAAAAGGTTGGTGATTTGAACCCATCCAGAAGCACCTCAAAAGGCAGTAATGGTTATCTGCTTCTGAAAGGTTACAGCCTTGAAAACCCTGTGAAGAAATTAACTGGAGACTTGATGCCAATTAACAACAGCAGCTTTGGCTAACAGCGGAGCCAGGCCTGCCCTATCCAGCAGTCTAATGCCAATCTTTGAGAAGCAGCCCCAGGTCTGACTTGCCATAACGTGTCTCGAGGACAGAAAGAGTTATAATCCAGTTACTATATGTTGAGATCTGGGCACACTAATAGTTTGTGTCGTAATAAAAAGGTTCTTGCTAATCAAACATAGATGGGCTTTCAGTGATGTGGAAAGTCTGGTTAGAAAAATTAGTCTTTTACCATGGAAACTAGGAGAGCATGATGACTACATAGGATAAGCACTGGACTTATCCCAAAAAAGTTCATTTTACTAAGGAACTCTGGTGGGGCAGTGGGTTACGCATTGGGCTGCAAATCACAAGGTCAGTGGTTCAAGACCACCAGCCATTCCAAGGGAGCAAGATGAGGCTTTTTGCTCCCGCAAAAATTCACAGCCTTGAAAACCCAATACAGAGTTGCTATGAGTCAGAACTACTCAATAGCACTTAACAACAAACACAGAAACTACAAAAGGGGTCCTGAGAGGTGTGGGATTCAAACTAATAGGGGGAAACATGAGTGAACAACCTTTGAATGCAGAAACTACTAATACATACATATACCCAGACACATGAAACTCCAGTTTAGAATTTGAGAGAGTACAGCTCAGTTAAGGATAATCAAAGGAATGTGTACTACAAATGAATTTATGTGGAAGAGCCTGTTTAAAACTGGATTTAAATATTTTCATCAGTTTGGCAAGTAGCCTGGAAAAAGGTACGGTGTTTGCCAGGGACTCAGGGGCTGCGGGAGGGGTGAATAGAGCTCGGGGCATTTTTAGATCAGTAATACTATTTCGTAAATTATGGTGGACACAAGACATTAAGGATTTGTCCAAGCCCATAGAACTGTATAACACAGAATGAGCCGTAATGTGGAGTTTGAACTCCAGTTAAGAATAATGCATGAACATCCTGCCCACATACTATCAGTACTGCCACAGTTGTATCTGTCACAGTAGAAGCAGGCCCAGAGACACAAGGGAAACAAATCCAAGAGGTTAACGGGAGAATCGGTGTGTGCTGAGGGGACACATGGGAAACTAAAACTTCTCTATAAAATAAAGTCTATTAGAAGAGAAGGAAAATGACAAAGACGAAGTTACCACCACAGTGTCAAGAAAGAAGCCATGGCGCTCCACCCCCAACCATCAGGGTCCAGGACTCAATGCTGGAAGCTCAGCCCTACCTGTGCTTTCACTGGTCTGGATGGGGATGGTTGAGTTCATACAGCAACCAAATCTTAGTGAGGACTTGGAAGAGAAGAGCCCAAGTTTGGCCTTGAGGATTGTGACAAAAGAGCTCTTTCAAATCACTCTAGCTGAGTATCATGGGGGAAACACACCAACCTGTTAAAAGTATTTTTCAAAAACTTCTTTAAATAAGACAAAGGAACTGTCTTTAAAAGCACAGGGCCGTTGTGGAACAATATACACTTGTCTGGGGATATTCATCAGCTACATGCTCAAATTTATGATATAAGTAATTCTCAAAGTGAACACTGAGTGGCTACCCATTTGCTACCCATGCTAGAGTAAGATCCCCTAAGAACTGGATTGAACCTCAGCATAGTGATCCTGCTTGGTCACCTTACAGCAGGTGGTGGGCCGGCAACGTAGGACGCATGGGGTCCCCAGCTGATCTCCTCCCTCCCTGCCTTCCTCGGATGGCGGCTGTTTATGCTGGACGTGTGGCCAGAGACGGGTAAGGATCACGTGGAACCTCGGCTACTTAAGACAGAGACATTGCCATGCTGCAATGAGTCTCAATGACTGGTAAGACTGAGGAATTCGCACTGACCACCTAAGACAGGCAGCGTCCCTTAAACAATCAATAAATAAGGAGGACTCAGATGCAGACAGCAAAGACCCCGTCAGGAGGCCAAGCCCCTGTGGGCCCAAGCGTTGTTGACCGTCCAAACCATAGGCTCTGAGGATCAGACTCTAGCCACCTAGTAGACAAAACAAACTGTCCCTCATCTGATTATTCAGTAATGCTTGTTAGTAATCTCATACATGAGCCCTGGATATCCACAGACAAATGTAAAGACCTTCCCTAAAAGCCGAGACTGTAAATTCCAAAAAGGCAAGTTCCCTCCCACCCCCCAAAAAAAGAAAGCTAAAGGGGATAGAGAGAAACACTGTTAACTGATGATATATGGAGGGGATAATAATTAATGTAATGAAACAAGCTATATGAATGGTTGAATGTGAAGCTGATGATGTGCCCTGTAAACTTTCACTCAATGCAAAATAAAAACATTTAATTAGAAAAAAAGAAAAAAAAAAAAGCACAGGGCCAAGAATGCCCAAACTTGCAGACAGTATTCATATGACTTAGCCTCAATGACTTGATAATCAGAACTCAACTAGAGGAAGATAAAAAGCAATTTTTGATAAAGGAAACAAGTGTAGATTGCTACAATTTGATGAACTTGACCTACACTTATGGATGTAGTAGATCAAAATACCATCAGAGAGCGAAAGAGTCTTCACATCAAGATGGGAAACTTAGACATTGGCTACCTAAAATGAGGGGGCGATAAAGGCACAAAATGACTGGCTTACAAGGTTTCAAGAGGGAGTTTAGTTTAAGAGTGTGTGGGGCAAGGCAGAGTCGCACTGAATAGTTTTCATCTTGTATAGATGGGTCTGGTAAAAAGAGATGGGGATAAGATTCTTGTGATTCAATAGTGAGTAATTGTTATTATGACTAATTGCGACTGTCACATCTGTAAAGGTAGATGTTTTGTAACAAAAATGGGGGAGTAGTTAATCTCACAGTCCAGAAACAGAGGACCCTAGGACCATCAATGGAGAAGAGCAAAGCAGAATGTGGGACCCTATCCAGAAGCAGCAATACCAGAGATGGAGGCAGAGATGTGGACATGGAGAGATAGAGCAGCTGAGGACTCTGGACTCATAGAAAGAGAGGGACTGAGAGCTGGTGGCTAGGAGGCAGGCTTGCAGAATGTGCCCTTTGGTTGTTTAAATTATTATATATTCCTAAGTGGTTTTGTGTACATCCCTCCCACCAAAAAAACCCACAGAGGGAATAGAAACAAATACTGTTGAATGATGATACATGGAGGAGATTGTAATCATGGCAATGAAATGGTGGTGTAAAGCCCATGTTCTCCCATGTAAACTATCACTTAGTTCACAATAAAAACTAAAAAAAAAAAAAGCACAGGTCCACTTCAGCATCCTAGGTCAGGTAGCCCAACAAGTGCCTTGTTCACCAGATAAAGCAAGAGAGATTGCAGCCTACCCTGCCGATGCTGGTCTTGTAGGCTGTCCTGATTTCCTGGCGCTGGGCAGTGCTGCGGTAGGCCAGGACATTAATAATGCCATCTTCGTCAGTGCCTGGGTGATCAGAGCAGAGACAGTGAGTGTGACTGAGAGGAGCGAGAGATTGCATTCCTCTACGTTCATTGGAATACACAAATTCAGAGTTCAAATGCCACATGCTTTACTTGCTATATCCCACCAAATCATGATAAACCTAAAAAAAAAACGATAGGCACAGTATATTTTACATGAAATGGAATAAAAGAACAGGACAATGCTTTACTCAGAGGTTGGCAGCAGAACAGTAGTTGTTGTTAAGTGCCATCGAGTTGGTTCTGACCCATAGTGACCCTGGATAGGGTTTTCGAGGAGCAGCTGGTGAGCTCAAACCACCAACCTTGCAGTTCAAATGGCTGAAGTCAGATTGCCTGGAATGGAGTCCTCACTCCACACTTACTAATTCTGAGACCTTGGGCTAACCTCATTAGTCAAAACAGCCTGTTATCATGGTGCAAAGAGGTAATCCATGTATCTAGCATTGTGCCTGACACACAGTGAAGCTTAATAAATGATTGCTGTCATTGTCATTAGTAGCTCTAAACAACTGCCATCGGATCAATTCCAGCTCATAGGAACCCTACAGGGGAGGACAGAAAGGATCCTTAGGGTTTCTGAGACTGTGTCTCTTTAGGGAGTAGACAGCATCATCTTACTCCCGCGGAGGCTGGTGGGTTGGAACTGCTGACCTTCGGTAAGCAGTCCTATGCGTAACCCGTCACCCCACCAGGGTTCTTTAGTAAAATGAATTCTTTTGGGATAGACAGCCTGGGGAGTAAGGTCTCATACTCCAGTGTTTTTGCTCAAATCTCAGTGAAATTCTAAATAAAAGTGGTGAAGGAGAGCCCCTCTCTGACCAGAAATGTACTCAGGCAAGGTCCTAGAGGCAGGGACTAAGTCTGAGCAGCCTGCAGAATAAACTACATTATTATGCCCATCCAGCATGAGGTCTTGGTCTTCAAGGGACTAACTGGAGAGTAGTGGATTGGAAGTCAAAACCTTTTGGACATGTATGAGGTGGGCTTCAAAAAGTTTGTGGAAAAACTGAATGAAAAAATAATGGAATTTATTTATTCTAAGAACTTTTTACAGCTACCTCATGTACAATCGTCTCACATAAAACCCCACAAGCTACATATTGGGACTAACACAACAACAGCAGGCAGAAGGACACAAGGGAGAGGAGATGGATTTACAGCTGGCAGGTCTGAGTTTGAGCTTGGCTCCCATTTTATAGGGCATTGTGAGTCACTTAACTTCTCTGAGTTCCAGTTTCTATATCTATAAAATGAGGCTAGCAACTACTTTCGCTACATCACAACATCACAGGGTTGTGTATCTCTAATGAGATAATGCTAGTGAAAGTGCTTTATAATCCTTATGGCATGATACACATACTAACACTGACTAGAAAACACATAAACATTTTTAAGTGCTATATAAAGACTCATACCATTCAAAATAATAGGGAAAACTCAGAATGAGTACATTGAATACAAAATTCTACAGTAAATAACTGATGCCCTCCCATCCAATATGCATTCTATGGTGCTTTCTTAATGTGGACAGAGTAGGTCTTCAATCAACAGTCTCTGGATGATCCTGCTTCCACCTCGCCCTTTCCACTGTAAATTACAAACCTGTGTGAATCTTTACTGTGTAACATGTGCACAAAGGAGGACTCATGTCAGATGGGACACTTACCAAGCCCTTTCATGGCCTTCCTCAGGTTCTGGGCATCTTCAATGGCGTTGAATCCTGAAGCAGCTTTGACAGTGCCTCCCTTGGATGCCTGAGCACACAGAGAGTGACAAGACTGAGTGACAGCACCTTACTGTCTTACAGTGTGAGCAAACACTGCTCTAGGGCGTACAGTAATGCCAGCTCCCACGGAGCTGGTGGTCTATTCGGGAGCTGGCTAACAGTAAACAAGCTGACAAATTAATATCTAACAAATTAACATTCCAGACAGTGTCCAGTGGTAGGAAGTACTGTGAAGCAGACAAAGGTCCTTGAGGGTTGCTCTTAGCAATGACATTTAGGCAGAGATCTGAGCAATAGGAAGGAACTGACCATTCAGAGACATCAGACTGTTACAAGCAGAGGAAACAGCAACTGCAAAGACCCTGTGGCTGGAAATAGCTTCTGCAGGTGGTGCAGGACCAAAGTCTGTGGGCTCAAGTGTGGTAGTAAGAGGAACATCACCTAAGAAATAATCTTGTTTCTTAAATGAAAAGAACAGCTCAAATCTGAATTTGATCAAGCCTCTAGAGCCAAATAGCAACTAATGAGACGTAGAGGGGAGAGGGAAAGGTTGTTGAACCACACAACAGAGGTGCAATCAGAAAATCCAGACTCTGAGAAACATCCCTGGACAAATGATCTGTTTTCTACAACAAGAAGAGAGAGACGGAGGGCAACTGTAGCTTAAGGTAGATTTAAAAGGCATATTAATAGTTACAATGTATGAACCTTACTAATTTGGACCCTGAATCAAAAATTAGTTTTTTTTAAAAGGGGAAAAAAGAGAGAGACATTTATCAGACAACTGGAAATGTGAACACTGACTTGATATTTGATGACATTAAGGAATTATTAACTTTTTCTAGGTGTGTTGATGGTATCATACATCTTTTAATTGAGGTAAAATTCATGTAACATAAAATTTATCATTAATCATTTTAAAGTGCTAATGTGCTACAATTCAGTGAGATTCAGGACCTTCACAGGGTTGCACAACTATTACATCTATCTAGTTTCAAGACATTTTTATCACCCCAAAAGGAAATCCTGTACCCATTAGGAGTCACTCCCTATACCCACTACTGTCAACCCCGTACAACTACTACTAATAGGCTTTCTGTCTACATGAATTTGCCTATTTGGATGTTTCATACAAAACAGGGGTGGGGAAGGTCCTGCCCTCAAACTGTATGCTGTTGTTGTTATGTGCCGTTGAATCGGTTCCAACTCATAGCAACCCTGTATAGGGTTTCCAAGGAGCAGCTGGTGAGCTTGAACCGCCAACCTTGCAGTTCAAATGGCTTTGTAGTCTGATGCATTAACGTACAATGCCACACCAAGACTCCTCAGACTGTATAAGGCCCAAGACATCATAGCCAATGAGCTAATAATGTAAGGCCCGCAAAATCACTGGTATGGCCCTGCCAAGGCCACCACAATTTCAGCCATCACATTTTATTGTTACTAAGTACCACTGAGTTGATTCTGACACATAGTAACCCTGTATAGGGTTTCCAAGGAGTGGGTGGTGAGTTTGAACCATTGACCTTGTAGTTCAAACTGGCCTTGTGGTTGAGTGCTTATCCTACAACACCACACCAGGACTCCGCCATTGTGTTGTTGTTGGTGTCAAGTGCTGTCGAGTTGGTTTGGACTCAGCTACCCTGTATTAGGAGTTCTGGTGTGGAGCTGTGGGTTAATGCGTCAGACTGCAAAGTCATTTGAACTGCAAAGTTGGTGGTTCAAGCTCACCAGCTGCTCCTTGGAAACCCTATACAGGGTTGCTAAGGGTTGGAATTGACTTGACAGCACTTAACAACAGCAACAACAACCCTGTATAAGGTTTCCAAGGAGCGGCTGGTGAGTGTGAACCACTGAGTTGCGATTCAAATCAACCTTGCGGTGCAGCACCATCACATTGTTGTTAAGCGCCATCAACTTCAACTCATAGTGACACGTATAGGGTTTCCAAGGAGTGGTTGGTGAATCTGAACAGTCAACCTTCCAATTCAAACCAACCTCGTGGTTCAGTGCATTATCCCACATCACTACACGAAGACTCCACCATCATACTGTTGTAAGTGCCATCGAGTCAGTTCCGATCCATAGCGGCCTTGTATAGATAGGGTTTTTGAGGAGGGCCTGGTGAGCTTGAACCACTGACCTTGCTGTTCAAACTGACTTTGCAGTCCAGCACACTAACCCATGGCACCACACCATCACATTGTGTTGTTGTTAAGTGCCGTTGAGTCAGTTCCAACCCATAGCGACCCTGTACAGGATTTCCGAGGGTGTAAATCCTTATGGGAGTAGAAAGCGTCATCTTTCTCCCGCGGAGTGACTGGTAGCTTCGAACTGCTGACCTTAAGGTTCGCAGCCCGATTTGTAACCACTACGCTACCATCACATTAGAGGTGAGTTAATTAAATGTTAGACTAAATATAGCAGGCTAAGTTTTAAGTTGATCATTTTGTATGGCCCACGGATGATGTTATAAATTTTGGCAGTAAAAAGGTTCCCCACCCCTGGTATAAATGAAATTATATATGATCTTTTGTGTCAGGCTTCTTTCAATTAGTATAATGTTTTCATGGTTCATGCATGTTATAGGATATACAAGTATCTCTTTCCTTTTAATAACTGAATAATATTCCATTTGTTTATCCATTCATCTGTTGATGGGCATTGGGGTTGTTTCCATCTTGTGGCTATTGTGAATAAGTACTACTATATGAATACATGTGTAACTGCTTGTTTGAATACGTGTTTTCAGTTCTTTTAGAAGTAGAACTGCTGGGTCATATGGTAATTCTAAGGAGCCTTCGTAGTGTTATGGTGATGATGGTTATGTGCCCTGGAGTTGATTCTGACTCATAATGACACTGTGTAGGGTTTCCGAGGCTATAAATCTTTACAGGAGCAGAAAGCCTCATCTTTCTACTGTGGAACAGCTGGTAGTTTCAAACTGCTGATCCTGAGGTTAGCAGCCCAATTCATAATCACTGTGCTATCAAAGCTCCTTGGCAGTGCTGTAGAACTGCTAACAACAAGGTCGATAGTTCAAATCCATCAGCTGCTTCACAGGAGAAAGCTGAGGTTGTCTGCTCCCATAGAAATACCAGTCTTAGAACCCCTATACAGGATGGCTGTAAGTCAGACTTGACTCGATGACAGTGGGTCTTTTTTTTTTTTTTTTTACTGGCAATTCTATATTCAACTTCTTAAGAAACCACCAAACTGTTTTCCACAGTGGGTGTGCCATTTTGCCATCAGCAACTTAGGAGGGCTCCTATTTCTCCACATCCTTGTTTTATTTGAGTCTTTATCTTTAATATTGAAAGAGTTTACAGTTAAAATGATAAGATGTCTGGAATGTGCTTCAAAATAATGCAGGAAGAGGAAAGTAAGCAGAGATAAAGAAGAAACCCAGAGATAAAGATTGATCAGGAGTTAATCATTACTGACCGGTACAGTGAAGTTCCTTATAATAATCTATCGACTTTTGTATGAGCAGTTGTTGTTAAGTGCCATCGAGTCAATTCTGACTCAAAGCAACCCTGTATAGGATTTTCAAGGAGCAGCTGATGAGCTTGAACCCCCGACCTTGTGGTTCACAGCGCAGTGCTCATCCTACAACACCACACCAGGGTCCACTTTTGTTATGTAGACATAATAAAATATAAAACGATAAGCAGAGAAGTGGGTCTTCATGTAGGAGATATGGTGGGCTACAGTGAGAAGTGGAATCGTTTAGTAGGAAAGAGCACAGGCATTGCAGTGGGATAGACCTTGGTAGGATTTATGACTTCCAGCTTGCCAAGTTGAGTGTGACCTGGGGGAAGTTTCATTTTTCTCACTTTCTACATTATTGGGAATAGTAGTATCTCTCTCACATACACATACACACATACACACAATGGGGCTTCAAAAAATCATGGAAAAGTGGAATTAAAAGATAGTGGGATTTTTTCACAAATGTTTTGAAGCCCCCTCTCATATATATTTGTTGTGTGCCTTCAAGTTGATTCTGATGCATAGCAACCCTATATAAAGTTTCCAATACCTGCTGGTGGATTTGAACTGCTGAACTTGCACTTAGCAGTCCAGTGCAATCCTACAGTGCATGTGTATGTGTGTGAAGCACTATAGCATTGCTGTAGAAATGGCACTGGACTGTGAATCACAAGGTCTGCAGTTCAAAACCCACCTTGGAAACCCTATACAGAGCCATTATGAGTCAGTATAGACTTGACAGCACTTAACAACAACAATGTACACATGTTATTCCTGGTGGTACAAATGTTGCATAACTATCACATTTATTAAACTTACAGCTACTAACTAACCAAAAGGTTGGTGGTTTGAATCCACCCAGAACTGTCTTGGAAACAAGGCTTAGTATTCTACTTCCAAAAGGTCACAGTCTTTGAAAACTTTTTGGGGTGTATGCAGTTCTACTGTGAAAAACATGGGGTTCCATGAGTTGGAAATGACTCAGTAACAATTGGTTTGCATTCAGTATATGTGTGTACATTTATTATATATTTCAGTTAGCAGAGAACCCAGCAAATAGTAAACACTCAAACTTGGTGGCTGTCATTATTCTTAAACATGACTTCAATAACATATCTATTTCTTATAATGGTCCTCAATGCAAGCCTATGGAACAATGCCAAATGCAAAATCTAGAAATACAAGGTGGCCAAAAAAAAAAAATTTTTTTTTAATAGTGATTTAAAGCTCTGTGATGATTTAATTTGATCCAAGAATGTAATCTGGGCCTCTTAAAGGAATGGATAATGTTTATTCCTTTAATACAATATATAGGAGCTCTGGTAGCATAGTGGTTACAAATCAGGCTGCAAGCTGCAAGGTCAGCAGTTCGAAACTACCAGCTGTTCCGTGGGAGAAAGATAAGGCTTTCTGCTCCTGTAAAGATTTTCAGCCTCGGAAACCCTGTAGAGGGTCGTTATGAGTAGGAACCGATACCATGTCATATAACAACTATGAGTCAGAACCGACTTGATGGCACTTAACAACAAACAATATGGCTCTATACGATAAGCACTAGATTGCAAACCACAAGGTCAGTGGTTTGAGTCCATTAGCTGCTCTGCAGGAGAAAAATGAGGCTTTCTGCTTCTGCAAAAATTTAAAGCCTCAGAAACCTATACAGGGTTGCTATGAGTCAGAACCAACTCTTCAGCACTTAACAACAACAAGGGCCATTCTGTCTCAGTGTTGGAGCTCTGTGAGCAAGTCCAGCTTGCCTTGGACCTCTTAGGTCAGTGTGGCCCTATAAAGCCCATTCAAAGGCCTTCTATACACCTGACAGTGTATAAAAAGGAAAAATCTATGACAGCAACTTTCTCCAACACATTATTATTTTCTTTTATGTGGGGGATTAAAAAAGTTTATGGAAAATTTCCATGATCTTTTCATCCCATTTTTCCACAGACTTCTTGAAGCCCCCTCAAAAAGTTTATGGAAAAAGGCAACCTTAGCAAATTGGTGATTTGCTGTCAAAATTCCTACACTGCTTAATTCAACCTTTGGCACTACCTCCATGAGACAGCTTTCTGATTGAAACAGCTTCATAAGGTTCTGTTCCAACTTCATTACTGAAATTTTTCTGGATGATGCTCAAACCCTGAATGTGACTTTAAAGCAAACTACATTGCTGAGGGTTGGGAACTAGTACGGGATTAAAATGAATATCTAACGAGATAAATCAACAGAGAGCTTTGCAGGACTGGTTCAGCTAATCAATTAACATTCCCGGTGACTCTTTTTCCTGGAAAAGGATATGCCGCCTTTTAGCCCTAAAATATCTGTATTGATTAAATTCTGGGGCATAATATGCCTTGCTCTGCTGGGAAGGCTAGGGCTCCATTCCAGGAGGGTATCTGTGAGAGGAGACACAAGGTATAGAAAGGATGAAGAATGACAGAAAATAATAGCTGGGGAGAGCTGCCAGATCACCAGGATGGATGATTATCCAGTCATTAAAATAACAGAGATGATAAACATCACAACTGTTGGGAAAGAATATAAAGGAATACTAGCCAGACTCAAAGGTGGATTTAAACCAAAAAGTCAGTAGTTCAAATCCACCAGCTGCTCTTTGGAAATCCTAAAGCAGAAAGCACATATATATATAAATTGGTTACAGCTTTCACATACAGGAAGACTGAGTTTCTTGAAAATAGGAAAGGTATCTCATTAATCTTTGAGTTCCTAGAGCCTAAGGAGTCCTGGTGTGGCGCTGTGGATTAATGTGCTGGACTGCAAAGCCGGTTTGAACCTCAAGGTCAGTGGTTCAAGCTCACTGCTCCTTGGAAACCCCATACAGGGTCACTATGGGTCAGAACCAACTCGACAGTGCTTAACAACAACATGCCTAGGACAAACGAAGGACCATAAGTATTTCTGAATAAATATTTTCCATGTCCCAAGAGGACTCTATCAAGAAGGGATGGATTTGAAATGAAAGCATGAATGATTTTGAGCAGATAAGATTAAGTCTTTGTCAAGATTGATGAGGAAAACTGTAGAATGTCAATATTTACTTTAAATTTATTTTAAAGAAAATATTATTTGCCCAAGATAGTTTACTTTACATAACCATCTTCCTAAAGGAAGGTGGCCAGAACTGGCAGGATTTCCAGTTCTTCTCCAGTTGTAAGATTCTATCTACTTCTATTATTCCTTCTCAGAAACACTTGTAGTCAGAAACCTTACTTGGATGGGAGAAGGAGAGCAGATGGCTGGCCTCAGGCAGCCATATTTGCAGGTAAGAAACTTAGCTTTCACCTCAGCATTGAATTTCACAGTAATCTCAAAGGGATCCAGTTCCCTGCCAGTTCCAAGGATTATAGCCAGCAGTGAGCAGAAGGCAGAGGGTAAGCCCTTATCTAGCTGTTAAGAAACACCCTTCTTAATGAGCTGGAAATGACACAGGTACACCAAATTAGCCACAGTGGTCACCTCCCTTGGGATTTTTCTTTTTTTCTAACCCCTTTTAATTTATCTACCATTTCTACAATGAACATACACTGGTTCTGCAGAGAGAAAACCAACTTGTTTCTAACTTTCTTAGAATGCTGTTGTTGTTAACTGCTGTCAAGTCGATTCTGACTCACAACAACCTTTATAGGGTTTCTGAGGAGTGACTGGTGGATTTGGACTACCAACCCTGTGGTTAGCAGTCCAGTGCTTATCCTACAGTTTCAAGATGAAGTCACTCCCATTCTGGAAAGAATATAAAATGATATTTAAAAAAGAAAAAGAAAAAACTGCCTTTTCACTGCCTCTCCCCCCTGCTGAGCAAACAACTCCTTGTTGAAACCCAGAGTCCCTGGTAACACATCCTGTACCTGTCTCGGGCTGGCACCAGGTAGGGCGAGGCACTTCACAACTTACCATGGCCGTACACTATGTCAAGAGCAGAGTTCAGTCACCCAAGCAGAAGGTCCTCTGTGATAAAAGCAAAGAGAGGGGAAATTACAGAGATAATGAAATCATTCATCAGGATAACCTGTAGTTTACATGAAGTTAAAACCATGAGGAAGTGATACCCATCTTCATGAAAAGACCAGCTTACTTATTAGCCAGTGATACAAAAAAAACAGGTTAATGACTGTTAAAAATGGTGGGAACAGGGAACTTCAGTATACTGACAAAATGTTTTCCTGTCTACTCTTCTATTTGGAGACACACGTTGCAGAAATGACTGCTATTGTCTCACCAGGGTGATGTAGCATTGCTTGTACTTGAGGCAAATATAAATGATGAACAGTCTATAACAGAATATCAGGAAGGTGCCTCTTGGAGAGAAGAGATTGTCTAACCGTACCAAGGATATGTACCTCATACTCTAGCTTACTCCCTGAGTGCATGTGAGAGAAAGAACAGGTGAGAGGCCCAACAAGCAACAGACTCATTTCATCTTCCTAGTAGTCACTTTCACTGCCACCGTCCTAAACCTTCTTCTCTGTAAGCTGCGACCTTCCTTCCTCACGCGACTTTGTTCTCAGTTCTCTTCAGCACACTCTCCTTCATCAAGAAGGGGTGAATAGTATCACATTTACTCAGTCAGTCATTCTGAAGACAAGAAATGTTTTAATTACACATAGGAATCTCTGTGGCTCACATGATATACTTACTATAGGCAGGTCCATGCGAGGCTGGCCAACTGACTTCCTTTTCCCATATTTAAGTCACATGGACAAAGCTCCTTTTCCAAGCACTTAGCTAGATCCTTGCTACTCACAGAATGGCCCTAAAACCAGAAGCCCCAGCATTGCCTGAGAACTTACTAGACATGCAGAATTTTAGACCCCATCTCAGACCACAATTTGCATTTTAAGAAGATACCCAAGATATCTGTTTGCACAGTAGTTTGAAAAACACTGGCCTAGACAACCTTCCCAAGCAGCACTTTTCAGTCATTCTCCCAGAATAATTAAATCTTTGTTAATTCATTTTATGGCACCTGAACCATGTTTGGCCACATTATTTTTCATCTGGTCATGGTTGGCCAACCTGGCAGCACAGAGTTAGGATCAATTGCCCTGCCTTGGCTTCCATGTAGGTTTGGAATAGTTGACAATGACAGACTCAGGTACTAGGGAGATCCCCTAAACCCAGCATTTCCACTTCTTTTTACCAAGAACTTGAAAGATTTCTTGAGCAAAGGTTTCTGGAAATACTGAGTTACTACTCAGTATTTTACCAAAGGACAAAAAATGTATCATACTTGAACACTGGGTTCTTTTGGCCAGACAATTTATTTGAAACTTGGACACTAAACAACACAAGTCCATTTACTTAGAGACAGCTGCTGACATTTATTTGCTAGCACCAAAGAAGTTTCTAAAAGGATTCTAGAAATCAACGCAGAAAGTGCATGCAAATGCTTACTCACACAGTGCCTGGCCCTAACCAAAAAGAAAATCCAAATTAGTTGCCATCGGGTCGATTCTGACTCCTGGTAACCCCATGTATGTCAAAGTAGAACCGTGCTCCGTAGAGTTTTAGAAATAGATCACCAGGCCTTTCTTTCGAGGCACCTCGGGGTGGGTTCAAACCACCAACCTTTTGGTTAGAAGCCAAGCACTTACTTAATCATTTGTGCAATCGTGGACTCCTGCCTGGCACCTAGTAAGATCTTAATCACTCTTGGCAAAGGAGAGAAAAGAAACTAACCCCTTGCAATACAGAATTGCTGTAATGCCTCTTTTTAGCTGCACACACTTAACAACAACAACAACATTATAGATCCAAAGGGATGAAAAACCTTTCTCTCAAAGCTCCACCTGGAAAAGCTCTCCCTCGGTTTTCTTCTCCTCCACATAGTAGTGCCCTGCTCTATGTATATCTTCTACCAGAAACCCTTCTCTGCCTGGGCTTTCTTGATTCATTTGTTCTCTCTGAAAGCCTTCCTACAATTCCATAAACTATCTTTCAAACCACTAATTCTGAACAATATGACCAAGTTCAAATGACTCTGACTTTGTGTTAGGGTTTTTTTAATGTTCTTTTGCTCTTCATGGGTGGGGCAAAGTAATAAGCAACTGTATGCCTTGGTTTTTCATCCGTAAAATACAAAAGTACTCAGGTTTAGGGTGGTTCAAATGACCCTAATTGTTGTTACTGTTAAGAGCTGTTGAGTCAGTTCTGACTCATAGTGACCCTTTGTAGGGTATCCGAGGAGCAGCTGAGAGGTCTGAATCTATGACCTTGTGGTTAGCAGGCCAGTGCTTATCCTATAGTGCCACACCAGGACTCCAAAACGCAAACCCACTGCCTTCAAGTCAGTTCTGACTCACAGTGGCCCTATTTAGGGTTTCTGAGACTGTAAATCTTTATGGGAGTCGACAGCCTCATCGTTTTGCCTTCTAATAGCATCAGGACTCTTCAGTATAGAAAGATGAAGACTGAAGGGCCCATGTGGTAGTGAGATCTTATAAATCTGAAGAGTTACACCTATGTCTATGGAAGACTAAGGAGCTCTGGTAGCGTAGTGGCTACGAATCAGGCTGTGAACCACAAGGTCACCAGTTCGAAACTATCAGTTGCTCTGTGGAAAAAGATGAGGCTTTCTGATCACATAAAGACTTATAGCTTTGGAAACGCTGTTTAGGTCACTATGGGTTGGGACCAACTTGATGGCACTTAACAACAACAACATTTGGAAGACTAAGTTTTTTTTTTTTAAGGTTTTTATTGTGGATTGAGTGAAAGTTTACAGGGCACATCATCAGTTTCACATTCAACAATTCATATAACTTATTTCACTACATAGATTATAATCCCTTCCATATACCATCAGTTAAAAGTATTTCTCTCTATCCACTTTAGCTTTTTCAAAAAACACACAAACAAAAAAAAACCCTCTTAGGCATATATACTAATTTACATCTCCAAAGGGCACATTCTACAAGTCTGCTCCTAGCCACCAGTTCTTAGTCCTTCTCTTCTTAGTTGATGAATCTAGAGTCCTCAGCCGCTCCACCTCTCCATGCCCCCATCTCTGGCACTGCTGCTTCTCTGGATAATGTCCCGCATTCTATTTGTGCATTCCTCTCTTGATGGTCCTAGGGACCTCTGTTTCTGGACTGAAAGATTAACCACTCCCTTTTTTTGTTACAAAACTTCTACCTTTACAAGTATGACAGTCGCGATTAGTCAAGATAACAGTTATTCACTATTTTTTTTTTTTCATTAAATGTTTTTTATTTTGGATTGAGTGAAAGTTTACAGGGCACAGCATCAGCTTCACATTCAACCATTCATATAGCTTGTTTCATTACATTGATTATTATCCCCTCCATATATCATCAGT